AACTATTTGAAAGAAAAATCAATCAGATTTCTATCGGAGATTTTACTTGTATCAAGAAGATAAAAGCCAAGACGTGCTTGCCATTGTGATGTATATTGAGCGATTTCACCTTTCAGTAAATCATTCATATAAGTGTTGAGTTTATTATTCATTTCCTTTTTATCATCATCATCATCATCATTTAGTATAATCTCTTGATCATTTTTTATTTGCTCAGCAATGGGATCATTAATACAACTATTTCTTGCTTCTTGAATTGTTTTAGCTTCATCCGATATTCGATAACAATGTCCATTCAAATCAAACCAATTCGTTGGACAATTAGTTGTCATTCTATTATTATAAGTAGATGTATAAATAGGAGAAAATCTAGGTTTATAAAGTAATGAATTCTTATTCATTGGATTTTCTATGCATAAACTATGAGATAATCTATATGAATAAGGTAAATATGAAACGACACGTAAACAACCCTTATCTAATAAATAATTTCTACTAAAATTCATAGTAAAATGAATTGTATTAGAAAGACTTGATTGGATTTTATTGTTATTTGTTGTTGTTGTTGAGCATTTCCATGAAGGATCAATAGTAACAGCATTATCAAAATTAATTGAAACAATAGATTTAGTTAAGTTTAATTTTTCAATAATTCCAAGAAAGACATTCCATGTTATATTTCCATCATAGACATATGGTATTGATGGTGAATAACATGAACTTCCAAATCCTTGCTCTGTAGATATACATTGTTTTAATTCTTTTATATAAACAGAATGCATCGAACAGGCATCATTCAAATCATATACAGCCCATATACGTGAATTGTTCAATGAACCACATTTAAATCTATGTTCAGCTTTTGAATCACCTATTATGCTATCACAATATCGGTCACAAGTATTATTAGAGAGAATTGAAAAATAACGTTCATGAAAATCTGTTTTTAATTTTTCTGGCATAATGCATGAACATTGATTGTTATCATCATTGAAAGCTAAAAATAAATTTGCTGATTTCTTTGTTTCTTTTTTTTGGTATAGATTTTTTTTTTTGTGTAGGTTATTATGTATGTTATAATTTACAATTAGTATATCAAACATGAAGCAAACTTTTGTCATTGATATTTTCTTTATAAATGTTATATAACTATTTCCTTTTAATTATCGAGTAAAGTCATTTCATGGGAAAGTCATAAATATTTGAATAGAGAAGACAACATCAAGATCAATAAAAAATATTTTGTTCACAACTGTTTTCTGCATGCGTTAAAATTCTTCGGAAAAAGTTCTCGACAGAATGCAAAAAAAAACCGATTTAGACAGTTTTGCTTTTCCAAAGATTTTGAACGGAAACTTTGTGCGATTCACATATATTTTCGAAGAAAATGGTAAGTGTAAGTTTTAAGGACAGGTTTTGCGACTTTCACTCACTCTTCCTCATTATAAACATTAGTAAAAAGTGTACCCCATCATCACAAATCTAAAATATAAGGCAGCTCGTTACGAAAGACTTTTCATTTAACCTCTTTCGCATAGGTTTAATATGACTGAAAGATATATACGAGTTCCACCTTACCATCCCAGAAGTACTACACTAACAGGAGTTTCTTAAATATGATTTTTTTTTGAGCTATAGTCAATCTTTCATGAGCATAAGAAAATTGTTTCCGAAAATGTCTGTCTTCAATATAGAGAATCCATATTATGCGTCACTCAGATATTTATGGTTCCTATGAATATGAGACACTATATCGTAATTATAGACACTTAATATGTTTCTCCTACCTATGGATTTTGTCGTCGTATTTTGATCAAAACATGCAGCTGCACATTGTTCCATTTTATTCAATGATGTTTTATCAGATGATCCATCTATTTGAACTTGAAATGTATCATAATAACCAGAACTCTTCCATAATTGACATGATGCAAAATGAATTTGATATTTAAATAAATAAGCATGTTTTGTATAAAAATGTTCTTCTACATAAGCTGAATAACCTTCTGAACCACCACATGTATTAATTGTTTGAACCTGACGATTACCTGGCTTTGGGCATGGTATTGAACAATATCTATCTGAGCCTCGATTATAATCCATAAGACCACCACCTGAACATCGACATATTGACGCTTGTATATAAATAATTGGTGTTTGACATAAACTAAAACATAATGTTGGTTCCATGTATGAACTTATAAAATAACTATCATAAAATGCGTATATATAACAACCCATATAACGATATGAACTATAAGCTGTGTGAGCTATAGGAATTATAATCAAAAGAGATATGAGTCTTAAGTACAACATCATATGAAAAACAAGTTAAGTAAATGGTTAATGAAAAAAAAATTGAAAATGTTTCTAAAATAGACAAAACAAGATAAGAAATTTGAGATGTTTTGTAATTATTTAGTATCGAAACATTGATAATACTAAAGAGAAAGAACGACGACCTTTTGATTCTTGTTATCGATATTTGATAGCAAAACTATGAGTATTATGTTTCTATGATAGGAAACTTTCATCTGCAACTATCTTTGTGTTTTATTTTGTTCGTTTCTAATAATTTGAAACACGATAAAGGATTTATTTGTATCTTCGACAACAGTATTACTAAGTTATTCATCATGGCTTGTGAGGTTAGAGGAGCAAGTCCATGCTTTTATTTAAGATACTCCAAGAATATTTTCGGACCATGTTTCACAAAACTTCTTCATTTGATACAATTTTAACAAAAAATTAAACATGCAAAAGTGATCTGGTATTACAATGACAAGGTCGCATTGTATTTTATGCCTCAAAATATCTCGATTTCTTGTTTGATCAGTTCTAAATCCGATTCAAGGTACCTTCTAACTACTGGATATATGATATGAGTTTTCTGAAAAAGAAATATCGAAAATTTCTTTGATTACTCAGCTACATTACATTACGCCGAGTTCAAAATTTCCCTCACTTATGCTAGAAACTGTTTGGATTGCTCGCTTCGTTTTGTTTCAAAATATAACGTCCCATCGACTTTTATCAAGACTTGCACAGGAAAATTTAGAGTTTAAAAGAAATAAAAACTACATTCTTGAGCATGCGCTTACAGTTTGAATACCCAATGAAACAGTCTGAAAATCAGTTACTGCTGCTTTACAGTCCTAGAACTGACAAGGCTACCGTGGTACACTGAACTATATAAAAATTTTTCGCGACCATCACAATATTCAAGATATTCTTAACAAATTCCTTTCGTCCCAGTGCTCATTTGACACAATGATATTGAACTCATCAGATTCACTATGATTCAAAAAGATATAGATGCAAACAGATGATCGGCATTGCCATCATGTTGAAATTTTTCAAACCAGCTCCATTGGTAAACAATATACCTTTAATTTAAAAAAGAAACCATAATAACCACGCCAAAAATACAAAAGTTTTATTAAAAGATAACTGTGTAATTAAATTTTTCACTTGCAATAACAAAAAAATCAATATTCGCACAAAGTAAAAGACATCCTTGTTTTTCTATTGTATTTAACATCACAGAAAAATATTGTCATTCATTTTAAATGCAAAGTCTAAACATATAAGCATTTGTTGCTCTCCCTTTTGTTTCAAAAGTGTGTCAATTTAAAAAAAATTCATTTAAAAATGTAAGAAACAAGGATTATCAAAAAACCTCTATAGAGATAATAACGAATGAAGTTAGTTCTACTATACAATTCGATCATGATAGCCAAGACTATGCATAGTTTTATAATTCTTACCCTTTTTTTCTTCGCCTTCAATGATTATACCCATTCCTCGTTTCGATCACTAATCAGGATTTCTTTTGTAGTTATTAATAAAGCTAAGAACTATGACATGAAACTAAGTTTCAAAATTAAAATTGATAACACGTAGGTTTGACAAAAGTCTTGAGGACAGGCGATTGAATGAACTTATTAAATCAATATTTTTAGTTTTTTGATATCGAATATCTGAAGAATAGAAACCCGAATTATCTGTTTTAGGCACATACACTTCATATGCCATCACACATTACATTTCTATTGAGGTTTATTTTTTTTTCTGTTCATATAGATGAAAGAATAAGAGAATCCATATTTAGCAACTTTTCAGAAAAATACACAAATGAATGAAAATATATTGATTAAATATTTTTAATGTAAGAATTCAAAAAGTAAAATATGATCTCCATTGATTGTTAACATTTTTTTTGTATTAGAAAAAGAAAAGAATTGAAGAAAACATTTGTATTAGATATATTATTTGATTCATGTAGTTAATGAATAGTAGTTTTTATTGCTCTTTTTAAATGTTGTGGAATCAAATTTAATGATGATTTATAATCGAGATGACATAAAAAAGTAAAACATTATGTATATTATCGTTAGCGAATAAATATTTATTTTTGTTAGAAATTTGTTGTGCTTTCTTTTGCCTTTGTTATTATTGATTATTTTTCGTACATTGTCTGTCACTTGTTTTTTTTATTATTATTGCTATTGAGCAAAATGATATGACAAGTGCTCAATCTAAGAAATATAAGAACAAATATAATTGCAAAAATGAAGCTAATTGGTGAAAAGTGTGTGCCGACAGATTATGTAGATGTTTGAAAATTTGATGCATCATCATCTGAATGTTATGACGCTTCAGAAAGTAGTTCAATATAGCTAATGAAGTGGAATAACGGATATGATTTTCTTCTTGTAATATTCATCGATATAGGATAAGAATTAGAAAATTTCTTAATTCAGGAACGAAGCACCAGAATAATTTACCCTATATATATATATCTGCTTAAGGAAAATATACTGATCCTATTAATTGTTGCTGGTCAATCTATTCACTAATTCGAGCATCACACAAAACGTATTTGAACTCAATGCATATGTATATGAAGAATGATTTTTTTTTTCTGCAAGAATTCAAAATTTATTCGATAACTTTGCATAGTTTTCAAAATAATCTAATTTGACTTTATTTACATCGTATTAAAAAACTAATCGTTGAGCTAGAACAGCATGCGTTATTTGAACCGGTGCTCTTTGACATATTACAGTTGCTAGTCTATTACAAGGTATTTCATCACATGAAATCGATAGTCCATAGTTAGATCGAAGATCAACATATGCACAACCAGTTTGTTGCGATTTTAATCGTTCTTTTTCTTTCGTTGACATTAATTCTGTGTAACGTTCATTGAATGTCATAGCACATGAAGTATGAATACGTCTTAAATTTGGTAGAAATCTTAAAGTATTATTATTGGTTATATTAGTTTGCATAATGGTATGAGTTTGATTATCATAAATATTACCAATATGTGCAAAACTAGATGATGTATAACTACGTCGACGTAAAAATAAGAATTTTATCAAGTTTAATGTCATCAATTTTTCAGGTAAAAATAATGTAGCATTCTCACGTTCACATTCAGATTTTGCATCTTGCCAAGTTGTTTCATGAAATGATATTTTATAACAATATTGATCCATTAAATGATAATCGGTACCATCGTCACATGAATAATCTATTGTTGTATTTACTGATATTATTGATAAATCGTCATTGGTAGTTGAAGGAATGACAGTTGAATTGAATTCTAGATGTTGATTTACACAAATTGGTATAGCAGACATTGATGAACATTTATTTGATTCAGTAAAACATCGTTCATAAGTCATTATATCAAAAAATGAAATATTTTGACGACGAACAACAATACAATTTTGATCAATTATTTTCGGTGTTTCAAAACATCTTGGAATCGAACGATAGAATTTGATATCACTATTCATAATATCAGATGTATGATCAATCCAAAAATATATAGTATTATTAAAAATATGTGAAACAGAAGAAACTTGATATTCTCCATAAAAACCTTTGGTTAACATCGATTTGGGTACTATATCTTGAATTTCTAAAATATCATTTATTTTTAACAGTATACCTCCAATAGATTTACAATAAGATTGTGCAGTTGATAAAGAACTTTTCTTTGGTAAATAATCACTATAAAGACATCGTTGTTCATCTTCACTAACTTGAAAACCTATAAAAATAGTAACATTTCTTATTTTTATATTGAATGAACTAGTTGTGAATTGAATTCTCTTACCAAGAGGACATGTTAGTTGCATTGCGTACACTGAATATAATGATGAATTGGTTGAATTCCCACATGTATAAAAATAATTAGCTGCACATTCTTGAGTACAATCAAAATTTGAAAGTGTAGAAATTTCAGAGTTATTATTTTTCATTCGAATATTTGTACATAAACACTTGTTTGAATTAAGAAGAGCAAATTTTTGTTTATAATTTGTACATAATTCTAAACAATGACGTGGATGAATATCACTTGTATGATTTAAATTGAAGTGATACATTATTGATTGATTCATAGAAATTAAATTTATACAACCATCATAAACGAAATCAGGAGTTGATTTAGATAATTTATAAGTATTGCTATTTTTTGTTAGAAATATATTTTGATGGTTAGGTATCGCAACGATTGTATCATTATCACCACAGTGTTCATGCGGATTACCTAAAATTATTAATTATTATTCTGTATATATTCGCTTCATCATATGTAAAATCTGTTTTCAATAAAAAGTAGTTCAATTTTAGAGTAAGAAAAAAAGACCGATTATAAAAATTTCAAATCACAATATTCCTAGTAGGATCTGTAAAGTACATCATGTTCGAATCTTAAATGAATTATTAAACATTTTTGAAATCTGAGTCTGGTTAATTGAAATACAATAATAAAGTTTTCTTATATAGAAAATGATCTATATAGACTTGCAGAAGTACAGTTCCCTCACCTAATGATGTACATGTATGGAAACCTTCCACATGTGAAGAACTGACTCAAAACAGGTTGTATTCTATCATAGACCCGACAAAAGTACCGCCAAGTATTGACTTATCGACGATTCTAACACATAGACCATTGTAGAGGAAAGTCTGTTCGTACAAGTTGACATATATTTCGATCTCTAGTGAAAAAGCATCGAATAACTTATATTAGTCGCTTTTGTTTTTAATTCGAAGAGTTCTAGTTCATATAGTAGATGAATTTTGTTTTTAAAAACTTGAACTAAAATTTACAGAGAAATTTACAATAAACTAAAAATCAAGTTTTTGAAAATATATTTAAAATAAATTCACAAAAAGAAACACTTCAGAAAACCTATGAGTAGAATATCTTATGGCGTCTTTTAGTTTAGATATTTTACAACCTTAAATGGATTACAATGAAAGAGACGTACATAATTATGTTAGATAGTAGAATTTTATGAATGAGATAATTCTGACAGCTGAAATAATATGTCAAAGAAATAACTTGGATTATGCATTATTGCCTTTCTTATTGTTAAGAGTCAAATCTCGAAACATTATTTCAGTAATAAAATTTTAAAAAACAATTCATTCGATGTAAAAACAAAAAGATTGATATTTTATTTATGAAACATACCAGGACATCGATCACCACAATTCTGTTTTTGGTATAGTGAATTTCGTTTGACATCAAATCTCCATGATTCAGCAGCATTTAAACAATAACATTTATCGATATTTATAACAGCTAAGTTTGTTTCGAATTCTGTACAAACAGATAAACATAATTCATATGTTAATTGTTTTGACATGATTGTTGGTAAACCAAGTGTTAATGGTTTACGATAACAACTGTATTCAGAATTGAAATAATGTTTCATTTCTATTTTACATAAAACATGTTTTGATTTTGAACAATTATTGATTTGAATATTTTTTAAAATTGAATTTTCTTTTTCTTTAATTGCTGAACGTGTGAAAAGTATACATGAATCATCATTTCTATTTGGATTAATCATTTGAAATTCATTTATAAATGAATGATTAATATTAAAATTTGATACTACTGGTAATAATTTTTTATTATAATCATACAACGATTGATTTATTAATTCAGTATTTGATATATCTAAGAAAGAATTATTTTAATTAAATTAAAAAAATTATCAATAGTATATGTCTGCTAATTATGTTTTATACTCTACTCGAACTTTCTTGATGAAAACTTTAAATTGTTAGATTAGAGCTGTCTTCTTATTTGTAAAAAGTTATCTGCTTTTTAGTATGAAATAGTTTTTGGTTTATTGGGTTTTTCATTTTTCTTTCTGAATTTTTTGATCGTAAAATTAAGAATTTGAAGAGAAAAAATTCTAACAACACATTCGTCACATATTTAGATTATTACATTGATCAGATGAGAATTTTAATTTGATTTCACATATTGTCTGACTTCAAAGATATGGATCCCTTCTACGTCAACAATTCAAAGAAATTACACGTACTCTCATCATTGTTTATACTAATAAGAACGATATCAAGTATTCATAGCTATTGACAATCTTCTTAATGTTCAGATTAGTTTTGTCTTCGATTTATAAAATAATCTTGATGATATAATTAACATTTGATTATAGTCCAATAATGACAAACCAGAATTCATAGCTTATTAAATTCAAGGAGAATCAATTAAAATGAAGGTACTGATATTTAATCATAGTTCTTTTTCCCTCTAATCATCCGTACCAATTCTGAATAATCCTTAGATGAATCTATGTGATTCAGATTGAACAACAATCATCAATAGACTAATCGGTAGGATGTGCACTATGTTGGCGATAATCGTAGGCATATCGACAATGAGCTACCGGTAGTGTGAACAAATGTGAAACATGAAAATCGAACCAAACTATTCAAAGTCTATTCTTGGTATTATTTGTTCAAATCTAACATACTAATCAATAAATATATTTCTATCCAAGATGAAGAGTCATTTAAAAAAATTGATAAGATTTCTATTGGAGACTTTACCTGTATCAAGAAGAAAAAAACCGAGACGTGCTTGCCATTGTGATGTATATTGAGTGATTTCACCTTGCAGAAAATTTCTATTAGAATCCTTCGTTACATTGAGTATTTGCTTCTTCATATCATCATCTGGTATGGTCTCTTGATGATATTTATTTTCTTCAGCTATCGATACATTAATACAACTATTTTTTGCTTGTTGAATTGTTTTAGCTTCATCCGATATCCGATAACAATGTCCATTCAAATCAAACCAATTTATTGGACATGAACTTTTTGTTCGATCGATAGAAATCATATAAATTCGATAATATATATCATCCAATATCGATATTTCTTGATTTAATGGATTTTTTATACATAAACGGTAAGATAAATTATCTAAATTCAATGAATTTGAATGTACACGTAAACAACCATTATGTAATACATAATTTCTATTGGAAATATTTGAATTTATTTTATCGATGTTTGTTGTTGTTGTTATTGAACATTTCCATGAAGGATCAATAGTAATATTATCATCAAAATCAATTGAAACAAAAGATTCGGTTAACTTTAATTTTTCAATAACTTTTAGAAACATATTCCATGTTATATTTCCATCATAAATATATGTTGTTGATGATAATGGACAAAAATTCCAAATTTCTTCATACGTAAATACACATTGTTTTAATTCTTTTATATAAACAAAACCAGGCGAACATAAATCACGTAAATTATATATAGCCCATATACGTCGATCTGTTAATGAACCACATTTAAATTTATATTCAATGTTTGCATCACCCAAGGTATTATCACAATAACGATTACAACTATTATCTGGTAAAATTGTTAAATAACGTGCATGGTTATCTGTATATAAGTTTCGTGACAACAAACATAAACATTGATTGCTATCATCATTGAAACCTAAGAGTAAATTTTTAGACTTCTTCATTATTTTCTTTATAGGTTTTAGCAATTCTATAGTTTACAAATAGGAAGACAGAAAAAAAATCGAACTTTTATGATTGAAATTATTTTCGAGAAATCCAATACAACTATATTTTCAGTAGGTCTGTAAATTTCTTCTATGGAGGAATAGTTTAGAAAAGTCAAAAAACCATAAAATTTAGTAGTAATCGGCTTAAGTGTCTAAAAAAGTGGTTTTCGATGCATTTCTATTTACGACTACAATAAAATCAGGGATTCACAGAATCATTATGTTTCGGTATTGAAATCTTTTTCACATGAAGATATGATTTTAGAGGAGAAAAACTAAATTTTTTCAAAACTATAGCAGATACAAAAAGTTTAGAAACAAAGTATCTGTGATTTTTAATCTCAACATTACTAACTTGAGAAAAGACTTAAGTAGTAAGTGAAGCTATGTACTACTAATATAAGGGCTTTTGAAACTATCATTAAAGAGTTTTATATAATAAAACTCTCTGATAATTATTCGGTCTCTATATGTATCGTCTACCTATGGATGTTGTCGTCGCATTTTGATCAAAACATGCAGCTGCACATCGTTCCAATTTATTCAAGGATGGTTTAACGGATGATTCATCAATTTCAACTTTCAATGTATCATAATATTCAGAAGCATTCCATAATTGACATGATGCATATTGAATTCGATAGTCAAATAAATGAGCATATCGAACATAAAATTGATTTTCAGCATAAGCTGAATATGTATCTGAACCACCACATGTATTAGTAGTTCTAACATGACGATTACCTAATTTTATACATGGTATTGAACAATGTTTATCGCTTTTTCGATTATAATTCATAAGACCACCACCTGAACATCGACATATATTATCTTTTATATAAATGATTGGTGTTTGACATAAACGAAAACATAATGTTGGTTCCATGTATGAACTTGTAAAATAACTATCATAAAATACTTGTGTATAGCAACCTACATAATGATATGAACTATAAATTGGATGAACTATGGAAGTGATAATTAAAAGTGAAACGACTCTTGAATCGAACATCATATGTTGATAAAACCAATGAAAAATGTACCTAATATATACAACGAGAACAACGAAATATGAGATATTTAGTAATTATTTTCTATCGAAAAAATTGATAATAGTAAAGAAGAATAACATAGGCTTTTTGTTTCATGTTATCGATATTTGATAGCAAAATTATGAGTATTGTGTTTCTAAGATGAAGATCTGTAATCCGAAAACATCACTGTATTATTGTTTTGTTCACTTTTAAATATTTGATTGTTTCTAAGGTAAATAAATAAAATATGATAGATCAAGATAGAAACTGTTACTATCACCTCTATAGAATTAAAATTATGGAACACAAACTAGTTGTTATTCATACAATCAAATAGAGAATTGCCCAGGTGCTTGTCACTTTTGGTGATGGATTGCGAGGGTATGTGTCACGATGTATGTTGAGTGAATTCGGTTTTTCTATTCTATCTAATTCAGGATTTCTGTTCGATCGTGTTTCATGAAAATTATCAAAATTTACATATTATTTTGCAATATTTTAAAAAAGAGAGTTGAGACTCACTCGGGCTTCTTGACTACAATAAGTTCTACTGAGCTGAAACGTTCCTTTACTTACGTTAGAAATTGCTTAAGGTGTATGTTTGGCTCTTGTCAGATTTTACAAAAAATCTCTTCAGTTTAAAAAAAGAGGAAAATGAAAGATCTTTAAAACTATTCTTATGGTTTAGTAGGCGACCAAATAGTCTGGAAAGTTTTCGCTGAAACAATTTAAGACGGTATCTACGAAATCTTCGCAACTCAATGTACCAATTTAATAGTGTAGAGTTACAATATCAAAGTCTTTAACTTTCTGTGAAATATTTTTAATTTTGATCAGTTTTTTTTCATAAAACAATTCAATTTTTCGACATAAAAAAAAAATCATATTAACCTATGAATGTCTTTTTTTAATTTTTGATCAACAAACCTGATCGAGTACGAGCTCTTATCATCTGGGAAAATAATTCTTCATCAATGATTTAATTTTCAAGCAGATTAACCGCAGCAATAGCTCAAATGAATTTTGAATATTTTTTATCTATAAAAAAATAATTTACTTACAACGATCATTTTACCTTGTTATCTCATATGCTTTAACCGTTGATCGATCAACATTGTTTTATCAATTTAATGAAATGAAAAATCGAAAAAACATATTGCATGATAGTGTTGTTACCGTTTCTTATCAAATGAAAAACATGTAAACGCAAACTTTGTAATTATTTATTGTTAACTGAGAAGAGTCACATCGTATCATGTCAATACATTACAAACAAAAAAATATAAGTAAATTAGATATATCAAATAGAAATCTAAAATTGAAGAGTTTATTATATGATTTAAAAATGATAGGTAAATGAAGTAAAAATCTTAAAGGTGTTGTATTACAGAAACCTTTTTGTGTTCATTTATGTTGTCCATCGAAATCAAAAAAATTATCATTAAAAAACTCTGAAAAAAAATAAATCAAATAAAACTTTTATTCAGATTGAAGAAGATCAAATTTATTCAAATCAACAATGTAAAAATTTAGATGAAAACTTACAAAAAATGACAATATTTTAATACATGAATTGGTAATGAAATTCACGATCAAATTCAGATATTAGTTTGTTTTAATATATTGATTTACAAAATAAATATTTTCTAATTTTAAAATGATCTTCATAATCAAGATGTTATTAAAGAATACAAGTTAACAAAAACTAATATAAAAAACAAACAGTTATTTTAAGAGTATCAAAAGAAGTTAAATATTTTATGTCAATTTTTATATATTAAGTGTCATTTTTCTCTTTTTTTTACATTGATAAAATTATGATGCCAATACATACAGTTATATATTGTTTCTAAAAATAAAAAAGTGAAGTAGTAATCAAGTTAAAGAGCAAAGTAATTATAAGTGATTGTCTTACATCTTTACACTCTATTTGTAATGGTCGTTATTATATAGATGTTACGAAAAGCATATGTAAACAAAACTATGAATTCTATATTTCATTCTTCTCTCAACGAATCCTAAATAGATATGAAACAAAACATGGGACATGTTTTCTTTCTTCTCAATGTGTGGTGATTTCTTTTCTTTTTAGTATAAATCTTTCACTGATAAAAAAACATTAATAGTTGTTACTTTACGTATATTTTCAAATTCTTTCAAAAAATTGCACTGTTATTAGAAAAAACAATTTTCTATTTGTAAACGAACAAAGTAACGTAACCAGTATCTATGTATGTGTCGTTCATTAGATTTATTGCAATAACAATAGAATAATGGGAATGGTCTGTTATTTAGCCTCGATGATGGGTATGATTCCTTATAACATATAAGTTTGAATATAGCATGTAGGATTACAGTTATATATATGTTCGCCAGAATGACATACATAATATAAATACTATGAAATAAAGATTGACAATGGAGCGTAAAATCCTTCAATCATCCATTGAGTTATTCTGACTCGAGTAGTTGGTGTAATATTTAACGTGTATGTCGAAACTAGAGTAGCAATAATATAAATTCCAATTTGACTTCTTTCAGGATGTGGATTGGACGTGTAGTCTGATTTCCTTCAATAACACCTACACTCTAGTTTATTATGGACGGGAAGTGCAAACTTAATAAGAGTTTTATTTTAAACTTTCTTGAAACGACAATAAATATCTCGAAAAAAAAACTGTGTTTACATTTTTTGCTGAAAGAACCAAACTTTGATTTTATCGCGACCAACTTTTTCATAATAACCTCGATCTCTTGAGATCAAGTCATTGACAAATTTCAACAGTTGATCAAGGTCACCAACTTGACTACTACGAAATTCAAGTGTTAAACTAGTTAACTTTATCATTGTGGGCAAGAGCAAGACTAGAAGTTGTTTCAACAACATTTCATTATATGCTGGAAATATTAAGTGTAACATCTCTAAATTAATATGAAATGTTTCTTGATCGGAAGGATTTATCAAATGAAGTTTTCGAATCATCTTCGACAGTCTATCACGATTTATTGTTTGTTGATCAGAAATTAGTTCCTTGAGATGATTTTCTTTTAGTTTTAATGAATATAAATTGGGCGTAAATGTTAGTAGAGTTTCAAATGTTTTACTAGTAAATAGAAGATCGATTAGATGTAAATGAGTTAGACGTGTAAGATCGAGTATTTCTTGCAAATATGGCACAATCATTGAATAGTCATTGAAATGTTCATCAATGATCTGTAAAGAGATTTCTGAAGCATTCGAATAATAATGCAAAGGTTTTGTATTCCTATAAATATACAAAGATACTTCAAGGCTTTCCTTCATTACTGTCGATCTGGTTGTTTTAACGAGGTTCAAATTGTGATGACCACCAGAGTCGAACGTTCTCTTCCAGTATGGTATAGTATAACATCGAACAAAACCTCTTTCAAACAGATCACAAACAACATTGTCTGCTGTCTTGAAGGTTGCACTATGTGTATCTAAACTGAATGTATCTCGATTTGGAATACGCATAATAAAATCAAATTCAAATTTTTTTAATTTCGATAATTTTGATGTAAATCGTTCGTCTAGTATGTTTCCATCGATATAGAATTCTGAAATAGTTGGAATTTTAATACGTAAAAATTTTAAATTTGGAAAATTGTCTGGTAAATTAAACATGTAGATGAACCGTGGAAGTTCGACTTTTAAGATTTGTAAAGTCGAAGACCGAATAAGTTGAAATTGGTCAATTTGTTGAAGACTAATATCTAAGTATCTTGCAATTCAAATGAGAAGACATAAAATCTAATAGTGAAAGAGGCAATGTTCTTCTAAGACTATACTCACCGTAATTGTGACAGTAATTTATTTATCATATCTATGACATCAAGTGAACAGTATGTAAAACATGTAAACGATTGCAGCTTCTTTAATTCCATCTCATTCTCATGATTTATTTTTATTACTTTTAAAGAATCATTGGAAAAACTATCTGTTTGAATATGTAATGTTTTCAATTCAGTCGGTAGTATATTCCATAAAATGTCTAGACTTTCGCCTTCGATTCCAACCGCTTTCAGATATTCTAATTGATGTAGCTGCTTTATTTCATTTTGTAAAGATCGAAAATCTTCATTTGTAACATCGACAACGATCAGCACACGTAAAAGATGAAATTTTGATAGTCTAATATTTGAGAGAAACAATGGTATTACACCATAACTGTCAACGTTTGAGAGGTACAATGAAAGTACTTGTTTCAAATCGATAGTAGTCGAAATAGAAAGAGCTGTCTTGAAATCATCATAAGTAATACGATCGACTTTCAGATGAATGTCAACAAGAGAGAGTAATGAATAAAAGCGTTTGTTGAGATTGTGAAAAGTTTTGAGTAGTGAAAGAGCCGATAAATAACTGAAGATGACCAGAAATAATTCATTTGGTAATGCTTCAAGCTGAGTTGACAGCATTAATGTATGATTAACTGATGATATTGTTTTCTTCTTTCTAATCTTTCACTTCTCTTGTGCAATTACAAAAAACAGAAGGAGCAAAACAAAAAGTAAATGTGATAAAAAATGTTCTTGCACTTTTTCTTCTTTATTTCGTATACAATTCTCATTCTTCTCTGCACTACGATATTTTTTCTGTATCGTAAAAGAAACATTTTTTTTTTGTTTTCATTGGCACAACTGGATATGAGTGTCCTACACTGAAAATTTCCCCATGGACAACTATCTACTATAATCAAGAAAAAGATCTGGAACGCTTCATAGGCGAATCTAGTGCTTAGTTCAACTACGTACAAACATGTCACTTTTTGTTCAAAATTGGTCTTAGGATAATTGTGTCTCTGTTTTCTTTTTACAAACTTTTTAAAATGTT